AATAACGACTAAAAATAAAAACTGCGGATGCCAACTCGCTTGCCAAGCGTGGCAAGTATGGAAAATATCCCCCCAATGAGGCAATCTACAGGTATAGTATATACGTTCAGCAGTGATTTTAATAGGCTGTAACGATAACAATAAAGTTGTTATCCCTTTATATATATATATATATATATATATATATATATATATATATATATATATATATCCTTATGTATATATCCCTTTGTTATAATATATAGAAAAATAACATAATACGTTTATGACAAAATAACCGAGGCCACCGGTGCTTATATGGATTATATTAGGTGACTAAAGCCAGCTCCGTACGAGTAGCTCTTAAAACTACAATTAAAAATCTAATTTCATTATAATATTGAAGTTCTAAATTCAAGTCTAATAAATATTAAGTTCTAATATCAGGTTAAAAGGACTTAAATAATACTTAACATTTTTGCGATTAAAGAGCTTAAAATAAAACACTTGAAACTTTTAAGTGTCTTAATTACACTTAATAATAATGTTCGTCAGACCGAATATCACGACAGCCAGTCACAACATAGACCAGTCATCTGCACGTATCATGATTATAATGCATGTCCACTCTCAAAGTCCGATGGGAGAGCAATCCGACACGGCTGGAGAGAGATCACGCCATACTGGTGATTCGTTCCAAAACATAGGACAGTATACGACGTCATACATTTGCGCCGTATTGGAAAAGTGTTGGCGATTATTTTATCATTTTGTGCTCCAAAAATCATTATATCCTGTTTCAATTAATTTGTGAAGAATGGAGATATCAGAAATTATTCTATATTTTTTTGTAAATGAATAAATAAATAAAATGGCATGCTTCATTTAGCGTACACACAATTAAAAATTGTTTTATTATGTCGGGGTATCCGCACAATATGACGGCGGCACGCCAGTACAATATGGCGTCAATTAATGACGTAATTTGTATTCGCCAGTATGCTGGAAACATTTCGGAACATACTCCAGATGAAATACTCGTACCAACGGCTTTACGTGCGTTTCGAGCCATAGGAATGTAAATACTGTCAACTTTCAGACTCAACTCAGACAAGCTACTAAAATTAAAATTTCCTGACAGAAATTTCAAGCCTGACAACTGATTTTGGCCCGATCCGTTATCGAATCCGGTACCACAAGAACAACAGTAACGCTTACTACCACTAAACTAATGAGGTTATATGTAAATTATTACAAACGTAACAATTGTCATTATAATAATGCATACTATGATACTAGCTGGCCAGGCAGATTTCGTTCTGCCCTTTCCGGCGAACTTTTTAAAAAATCTTTAAATTCACAATAAAAAATATAAAGGTATCGGAATAAAAACTATACCATATTTTTCAACTTGGATCAGGCAATACACATTTACAAAATTTTATTAAAATCGGTTGAAGCGTTTTGGAGTTTTGGAGTTCATCGCGGACAAACTATGTGACACCTAATTTTTATATGTAAAGACGTATCAATGAACCATTGCACAAAGCATACATAAAAAAATATACCGGAAAAAAAAAACAAATGTACTTACACGCCTAACTTTTGCAATGCGCCGTGGCTAAATCTTAAACGCATTCAATGAAAATTATTTTTGTACGTTTTTTTACTATCGAAAGTCCTTCAAACAAAAATCTTAGACATGGTTCAAAAAATATCCAGTAAAAAACAGCCGACATACGAACCTAGATGAACGATTTATGTTATACAATTTATCTATATACCATATTTTAAGCTACCTTCACTTTTCCCTCACACTTCCGCCATAAAAAATAAACAAAAATGTACTTTGTAGAGTGTGCGCTAAACGACAATGCACTTCCTGTTACAATTCGGTTTGAAGGATAAGTGGGCCAGTTTAATTCCAGAATACGAGGTATTTCATTTCAGTCAGCAAAGATATTGATGACTAAGTTAGAATGCTTTCATTGTTCTGAATCCACTGTCGATGTTTGGAACACGCTGTTGTACTCGTAAGAAAAAATATTTGGACATAAGTTTTTATCCGGATATCTTAACGTGGTTGCTTGCCAACTTTTTTATGTTTGCAGCAGGAATGACTCGACTGGCGTGGGTAGATGTACGTCCCTATAGGCCACAGCTTCCACTTACCATCAGTTGGATTGTATGCTGGGTTTTCAATTCAATTAATTAAAGAGTTAGTAGACGAATTAGCAATCACAGTACCAGATACCTTAAACAATACTATATGTTTAACACTTCGTGGTTGACATGTTTAAAATGTATTTAAGACTACTTAGACTACTAACACGTATCCATATTTGTGTTCAGTAAGTATCTAGTATGATAGCCATCTTACTCGCAGAAAAACCAGTTTAACTGCACAACTTGTATTTTCTATGAAGTATACCAAGTCTTACCTTAGATTAGATTATATTATCGGTTACAATCTGTATAAAGTGTTCTTTTTTTGTTTCACTCAAGAGAACATTAAACTTTCTTGAGAATACGATTGACCGTATACACACATACAGCTCGGCATCGACAGCGTAATGGTCTAAGAGCTGGTGACGAACTATGGATAGGAATTTTACACGCTTAAATTATGAATAATGATACCTATTTAATAAACACCTTTACCCCATCTTCTATAAAAAGGAAAACCAACGGACCTTCCGTATTAATTTGACACCCGATAGACAGAACACTACACGTTGTGGATGTTGTGGCTTTGTCATCCTTGAGATCTATAATGGAATTCCTTGTCAACTGTAAAAAGGGATTCCTGTTCTTTACAGTCATTATATGATACACAATAGCCTTATACTCATACTTTAAGCTAGTATTCTGTACGGACGTTTGTTTTCCAAAAACTAGCCACCCTATTAGTTCTGCAGTCATAATAAACAGTAGCAGTAGCACGTTAATATTTGTACCAATTAATGTTTTGCAAATTTTAGAGTACTAGCACCATCCCAAAATTTGTCACCAGCTCTCCGGCTATAATGTTTATACAACAAACAATCTCACTTAGTAATTCCAGGTAAGTATGAATGTTTCAAGAAATCTCTATGACACCAAGCAGCCACTCGATTGCTTTCGAAATTCGTTTAAAACAATCATAATATAAATATACGCTTTATTAGGCATTAGCTGATATATACTTAAAATCTTCGTCATAATAAACGCTGATAAAACACTTATAATTACAGTTATTTTTATATATAACCGTTACCGTTACACAACCTATTAAAGTCCACGGCTGGGTATTGCGCTTCCCCATTGATTGCCGTATAGGGGGAACGGGAACATTGCATCGACGACATAAAGCATCGCATTCAGAAGCTGTATTAACTGAAACTTATATTATTTTGTTTTTGCTTTTTAAATCGGTTTTATTTATTTTTAATTTATTACATCCTGTTAAGTGGAATTCCTGCTTGTCTTACCAGATCGTCACTCCATCTTGTGAGCGATCGCTCTACATTTCGCCTACCGGTGCGAGGCTGCCACTCGAGAACCTTTTTTCTCAGTCGGATTTCGGTTCTTCGGGCTAATCAATGGATGCAGGTGCCCCAGGGCCGTGCTTTGTAGCATGCCTTGGGGAAGCCTATCATTCAGCAGTAGACTTGTGAAGGGCTGTAGTGATGATGATGAACTAGAATGTCTTCTACGTTTCTCCACCACACGAGGTGAATTAAAAAAAAAGTAGAATTATTACCAACAACAGTTCAGCCGTTTTCTAGAAATCGGTGAACATACATTAAACATCATACGCGTCGAAAATAGAACTTCCCGTTTTTAGAACACGGCTAAAAATAATATCCAATATATTTAAAATATATTTCTGCTTAAGCAAGCACAAAGTGTAAATGCTAACTTACTTTGGTAATTTAGACCGTACAAGGAATTATTTGAATCTGCGTATCATATGATATTACTAAGTATTAGCTGGATTTACAAAGGTCACGTTCATATTTGAACATCGTTAACTAAATATAGACCGACTTATTACGTATTCGATTTCGTTAACCATTACGCATTGAATCAGAAACTCTGTATGCATTTATATATAACACTTTTTTTGTCGCATCTTTGGCGTTGTGGCTAAGCATATTAGGTTTTGAATCCCACATTAAAAGAATATTCGTTTATTTGCATATAAGTAAGACATCCCTATAATACAAAAAAAAAATATACTAGTATGGGAGCAAGCTTTTGAATAATTGTTTTATATATTTTAGGCCTTTGTTACTAGAAATTATCTCTGGTCACAAGATCATCTGTTTCTAAGTTGCGTTTTATACAGGACGAGATCAGGTGGTGGATTATTTTATGTCACCGCCGCTTGGTCGAAAGATGGTGCCAAAAGATCTCGTATATATGTCGCAGGCAATTTGTATGATCCGCCGTTTACATACAGCGTCATCAGTCTAAAAACTCTATAGTTATGTATTATGCCGAAGGCAAAATGTATATTGCCGTGTTATTTTCTAGTATGCCATAACATTTCATCGACAATCCAATACACTAAATGCAAATACCCAGTGTGAGAAGTCAATTATAAAACTGATAAAATTAAATTACTTTCTAGTGAATCCAATTATGTATTCAAATTTTTTAATTCTTAATATTACTTAATTTAAAATATGATATTTTTAATATAATAGAATTAACAACATTATTTGATATTTTTATTTCAGTTAGCTTAATTTAGGCACGCACGGACCTATAAAATATAACAAATATTTTAATACCCGAAAAGGGTAGTTAAGTTGTAAGATACGTAATATAAGAAATTACATATAAAATATATACAACTAACGTATATTACTTAATTTTAACAATAAATATTTTGAATTTGTAAAAGTTAAATTTGTTAATTCCTATCCTTGGCGATCAGCAAATCCTTCTAATGTAGAGATCTATGGACAGCGAAGATTGCTTACAGGTTTACACGAGGAATAAAGTTATATAAAATTAAAATAAGTAGTGCTTACCCGATTGGGGCCACATGGAGTGCCCTCTAGTGGCGGGGCCCGTTTCGAACGGCACACGTGCGGTATGCCACGATGAGCACACCACAGCCTCGCACAAACCGACCGTACTTTAACGGACTTACACACTGAGAACCTGGGAAGCAAGACATATGTGAGATCTCATTATCCTCGTCATCTTCATCATTAAAGACTATTTAAGTCTATTGATGAATAAAGACCTACCCCACAGTTTGCTTAACAAGGGGGATATTAGTCATAGTGCGGTTTGGCAACCATAGTTTTCATTGTTTTAAGTATATAGGAATGTATTGAAAATTATAGGGACATGATGTATGTCATCATGTCATACATGTACACGTACATCATTATGCACGTGATTAACAGTACCACCAAATCTTGTTAACGTCCAGTCATCACACTTACGAGACTATCCACTGTAAGATAATTATTATGACTCTTTCTCTAATCTAAAATCTTCTATCTAAAATCTAAGATTTATTGCATGAAAACAACAGAGATTTGAAGCAATTATTAAAAATCTTTTTAATTCTATTTAAAATTCTATTTAGTACAAAAAATAAAACGAAAAACTAACATATTGTTGCGCGCTATAATTAGCGCCCGGTATATGGCGGGTGGTGGTCAATAAAAAAAAGTTTCATTTATATCACTTGCAAGCGCAGTTAGATTTTAAGCATACTAGCGGTAATTTTTTTTTAATTACTAGAGATGTGCCTCATAATCGGACGTAAAAACTGCCTAGCGAATATAATCGTTGAAAATAAGTAATTCTATTTTATATGTATGGTGCAATACCGTCATATTCATTTATATTTAATTGAAGTAACTTATGATTCATGTACCCTATAAACAAATAAATAGAAAAAGAGATAAAATTAAGAAAACGGAATTAAACAATTTTATATTTATTCCGCCATTTTGTTAAATAAACTCGAAGCCAAATGACTAAACCTCCCGCTTGACTTGCCTTAACAATGTTTTTGTCTGTCTCATTAAATAGCAAAAATTAACGAAACACAACAACAAAGTCAATAATCGAAAGTAAAAGCAATATTAACTCAAATTGAAATTACAAAACGGCCGATATATACTCCATACAAATTGCTATGCGCTGACATACATTACTACATAATATACACATTATATATAACATTATACACATTAGTGTTGCCAGGAGTCCCGATTTAAGCGGGACGTCCCGATTTTCAGAGGTTTGGTGACACGTTCCAATTCATCCTTGAATGGGACGCCATATGTCCGTATTTTTATTTACCTCCTTAGTCCTTTGTATTACGGTTGATAATTATGACCGCAAAATGAATACATCTGTAATCTATTACTGTGGATGAACGTTAAAGTTTTAAATTTAAAGTCTATTTTGTTGACGAGATACAGATATCATTCATGTTGTATTGGTTTTTCACAACCGCCCCCCCCCCCCCCGCACCCGTCACCGTAGTAATTAGTACAGTAACTACCTTACATGCTGCGGTTTAGATAAGTAAATTTAGTAAAATATAAAGGTCTTGTGGGTTAGTTCTTTCACTAGACAATTTCTTCAAGCGGTTGTAGGTACCGTTGTTTTCAGTAAATAAAGTGACATTACACGTATGCGTGCGACGTAAAGATTTTATCTGAGTGTCTGAGGTTATAATTTGATTATGAATGAATGTGGATTTTTATCGTATGATGCCGTTTTTGAAATTCTTTTGAAGTACATGCGTTAAGAGTTCATAAGATTTATTACTTTTCACAGAAAAACAAAAATTCAGAATCTGCCACTATAACTTATCGGTCAACAAGTTCTGATTTGCCGAAAAAGAAAACGCACATAGACGACTATACAGTTTTTTTGAAGTTTCTACTTCTTCTAGAAGATTCGATCATTGTGCATTTTAAAATAAATATAAGAAATCATCACTTTGTGCATTGTGTCAAAAAGACTTCAGTATAACTCATAACGGCCTAAATGGCTACAAAATACTTGTTTTGTTAATTTTCATTTTATTAGATTGTAAACCAAATTCTTGATTAATTTTACCTTTCGTTCCAATATTTGACCTACTGGACCTGGCAACACTTATAGAGTACACATTTATAGCGAAGGGCGCTACCAGCTACCACTCGTACCTTGAAAAGTTGTGCCTTACTAATAAAAGTAATGTTATTTCTTTTAATGTTAAGAAAAATGTTGCCAATAATATAAAATAAGAGATAATTTTTATTTTCAAATTTATACATAGTAACTATAATTTGTATTAAACTGTAATTAAAATTTACATGCATTGTAATATATTTATAAAGAAATATATATTTCGATTGTAATTTTTTTATTGATAGCTAATCGATAGTTTTTTATTTTTCTTTGTGTATCATCAATCGCCTTTTTTAAATCGATTTGACATTGTTCCTTCTCTAGACACGCTAAACTGTAAACTGTCACCCGCACCATGCTATAATAAAAGACTACAAATGCTTTGTATTATCAAACTGTTATAACTGTGCCTTTTTGCTAACTTGAAGTGGGTTTAAAACTGGCAAAGATTGCGATACGGTCTAAGTATAAGTAGGTCTAAGTATGCTGCAATCTATCTTCGTTTTTGTTACGTTCACATAAGTGAATGCAAGTGTGTTTGCGTTAAGAATGACTATAAAATATCCTCAGATGACGCGTATAATAAAATAGAAGTTTAGTTCATTTGAAGTGAACCTTCATAGTTATTTGAATATTTAAAATATAAATTTGGAATATATAAAACTAAAGTAGACTAACTTGGACACCTCCAGATAACTTCAACAACTACACGGCTACAGATGCGTAATCTCTTCTAAGGACCAAGATGGAATATCTCACAGCATGTCAGTTATAATGACTCTTCATGCCCTTCAAAACGGAACACAGCAGTATAAGCACTGCTATTGAGTGGTAGAAATTGGTACGTAAGAGGGTCGTACCAGTGCATAAGGACTTCTAGGCAGAAATTTAGTCCCACCACCTAGTGAAAATCTTTATGATGACAATGTTAATTTAACTGGAACCACTTCAAAAACAATTATTATATAATACTCAACTAAAATATACTAACAAGATATATTGTAAAAGCTTAGAACATTCATCATTACGAATATTTCTAAAAACGTAAGTCGCTACAATTTGCCTTTGATCTTATAAATTGAACTATCTGATATGATCTCAATCAAAGATAACAATCTATCTCCTTTATTGACGATAATTACACACAAGCTACGTACTCAAATGGAGCCCGACCCAAATTCCCATGACTCATGTCGTCGCAAAACAATAGATTCGGCTTCCGTATATAGGTGTTTAATGGAGTTCCATTTATGTGCACACAACATGTCAAGCGTAGCTGGTCAAGGTATGTGGCCTTGTGCAAGTATTTATTCTACCATTGAAATGTATGAAATAAGGTTAGTAATAATTATTGCTTCAAATAACCACCGAGCTGCAAAAAAGTACTTGATAGCAGTGATATTAATAGTAATATCCCGCCGGCACCAGTAAAATTGTAGGATGTAATTTTAGGAGATAACTCGGTAAAGGAAAGTACCCAGGAAGTGATGCTTAGGTAACATGTTACATAGGACACTAAATAAGTTTTGAGATATACAAAAAGTATTCTAGATACATTAATATATATTTTAAATATTTTTAAAATATTCTCCATCACGCTCTACGAAAAGTTCCATTCGCCTAAATATACTCTGAAAACATTTTTGCCAGTCTTGATTTGACAGGTCAGAAAGCGATTCTTCGTAGGCAGCCACGGCTACTTCGGCGCTTGAAAAAACATGCTTTTTATTTTTTGTTTGACCCTAGGGAACAAAAAGAAATCACACGGAGCTAAGTCAGGGCTGTAGGGTGGGTGACTTAGAGTTTCAACACCAGATTCCTCAATAAATGCTTTTATTCTAAGGGAGGTATGTGAAGAGGCGTTATCGTGATGCAGGATGATACTCCGAAGCCCAGTTTAGTCTTCTCCCCCGCATAGCTCGAATAGCTTTGGGTAATGCAACTGTAGTATACCATTCGGAGTTGACTGACCTTCAATTTTCTAGCATTGACGTCGACAAATGTCCGCTGCGCGAAAAAAACTTGCCACCATTTTTTTGCCGACGTTGCGAGGTTTTTGTAGTTATGCCGGTAACTGTCCTGAGTAGACCCATACCGATGATTGCCTCGTCTCGTCACGTCACCAGTAACAAATTCTGAAACACGCCTAGATGCCCTGTTTTCAAAACGTAGACGCATTTCATGGCACCAATCCACACGAGTTTGTTTTTCGATTCCGCAGAGCAAACGAGGGATCCATCGACAACAAAGCTTCCTCACTCCAAGATGTTGATGTAGGACGGTATGAATGCTCCCCGTACTAATGCTTAAAATCTTTTCGATGTCCGTATATGTGATTCGTGGGTCTTCTCGCACCAACATTTCAATAGTCCATACATTTTCTGCCGTTACTGCTATTTGCGGAGCTCCGGTTCTTTGGTCATTTTTATGGTTAATTTTACCCCTTTTGAATTCAGCAAACCACCTAAAAATTGTGATTTTCATTTGCGCGTATTCCGTTTTAAGTGAAAAGCGCGGGAAGCGTTGCAGGAAAATTAATAAAACTTTGTTTTTTTTTTAATATTCAGCAATTGGCTCATGGAATTCATTTTTAAATAAATTTGCTTTTTAGAAACATATAACACGGGTGCGTTCCATTTTTAAATTTCGAGTATCTCAAAACTTATTGAGTGACTTACGTATAATAAACAAAATGTATTTAAGTAGATTTTATGTAATTATACCGTTCTGTGGTATTGGTAATTTCAAATGAAAATGATCTTTGTTTGGCTAAGACATCATTTTTTATTCCAGAGAAGTATTTTATTTTCAGCAAAAACACAGTGAGAACATCTTTTAGTTTTCGGTTATCGCCATATTCCCATCCATTCGTCATCTCTTTCATACGCCTATACTACAATTACAATCTTACATAAATAAAAATTTAACAGTTTGAGTTGACATTTAAAACTATTTTTTTTTATTTTAATTTTTTTGTTTTCACATAATGCATAAGAACTACAATAAAGAACATCTAA